TTTTTTTTTTGAAATAAAGTTTCTGCGTTGTTCCGAGGCTCGCATTTTGTCAAACGTTGCGCTTTTCGGTAAACCGACCAGGGATGAAGTGGAAATGAATGAAAGAGAGATGAAATCTTTGAAAAATCTTTCAAAACACCTTGCTTAGGGGTTTGAAGTTGAAGAAAGGAGGGGAAGAGAGAAGAAACCAAGTTGGAGGAGAAGATAGGCATGAATCTGGGTAGAAGGGAGTCGAGCAGTCCTCGCTGAATCGGGCTTATTAATCTGCATACTTGGATTTTAGCTATGGGGCCACCAACGTCGGAAAGCTCACTTCCGGGGCTTCATTTTTCACTCAAGAATCTCTTAAAGCCAAGTCTGGGTGGAGAAGATATGATCAGTTGAAGTTGGGCATCATCCCGGTTGGATCGAATCTGCGCGGCTTCACCAAAAAGGGCATAACTTTTTGCACAGGAGGAATTTTAATGCAAGGTTTGCGGCATTGGAAAGATAACTTCCGAGGTTTCAATTTGGACACCCACCGGCCCTTTTTTGACCTTGGCAGCATCTATCAGCTATCTATTTATCCGACCGGCAATTTATTGTGCCGGCCGGCCATTTATTTTGGCCGACGACCTCCTTTTCTGGCCGGTTTGACCTTTTTGCACCTTTCAGGCATGGTGCATGCTAGCTATGCTAGCTGGGATGCACAGACCCTGCTCCTCGTGCATATATGTGGCAAGTTTGCACCTTTGACCACCTTTGACCCCTCTTTTTGCACCCTTTGCTCAAGGCTTCTTGAGGAAGCTTTGATCCCTTGTCTTGGCTTCCTCAAGAAACTTGCACCCCCAGCTTGGCTTCCTTAATAAGCCTTGCCCCCCCTTTGCCCCCCTTGACCCTTTCTTTTTAGCTTGTCTTATAAGCTTCAAGCCCTTCCCTTTGCCTATATAAGAAAGCCTCCTTCTCCATTGTTTTGGTTCAGCAAAAACCAGACCTAGGGCATATATATCTGATATATATACCCTCTCTCTATATATCTCCCTCTCTCTCATCCTTTGTGTGTGTTTAAGAGCCTTAAAGTGTGTTTTGACCATAGTATTGCACCAACACACACACCATTACACCACACTTCGACTTGAGAGGCCTTGAGGGTTTGTTCTTGGAGTTTTAAGCTGGTTTTGATCATAAGAAGAGGTCTGACCTTGCTGTTCATCAAAGGTTCTTCAAGGGTAACTTCTTTGCTTTAGTTTCCCCATTTTTGCACACACATTTAGCCTGTCTTGCTTTCTGTTTTGAGCTTAGTGTATAACTGAAAAAAGTCTTATTTTTAGCTCATTTTCAAGTTTGTTTAAGAACACTTTTGTGTTTTGTCTACCCCCTCTTAGGCCTTGTTTGGCCTCATTTTTGTGCATTTTTAGTGAGCTCTGGGACCACCTTGTTTGGGCCTCGTCACCATTGAAATCTTGAGGGATTTCAGTGGTGAGGATGGTGGTTTAAGGTCCTAAGAAGGAGAGGGCCATCCCCTCTCCTTGTTGTCTTGTTTGATGCCCTTTTTGGCCTTACAAAGGGGCCTATATTTGCACACTTCTTGAGCTCGGTTCAGGCATTTTTCAGCGGGTTTTAGGACCCCCATAAGCCATTTCCAGAGTTT